GTGTGGCGGTGTGCGGTGGTCACGGCAGACGAACAGGCGGGTGTTGTTGGCCTTTGTGTGTGTGTGCATCGGCATGCAGGTGGGAATGGCTGCAATGGGAAGGGCGGCAAAGGTGGCAAGGGCTACGGCCCCAATGGTTGCACTCCGGTGTATAAAGTAGCGTTTGACGATGTCAAGGACGTGGTGGTGAGGGGAGAGAGAGAGAGAGAGAGATGCGACCAACTGACATGTCTGTTGGATCAGGATGACCTGAGTGAGGACATTGACGATCTGAAGGATGATATCGACGACCTCCAGGATTGATTGATGGGACCTGTATATCTGAAGTCAAGAGGAGGAAGGTGTGGTGTAATCGAGGAAATCTGAGACGACATGTGAGTCGATGTGGTGTGTTTGACTGTCGGGATGGTGTGTGCCTGCGATTGGCCGCCTTTTCCTTTTGCGTGTTCCTTCACTGTGTGGTGCCTTTCTGCCTTATGAGTGTCGTGTGATGGTCAGTCACCTTATCGTCAGCCAATCGGTCCATGGGCCTGGATGGATGGATGCCTGTGTGCCTCTGGAGTGGGTGGAATGGTCCGTCTGCCGACCAGCTGAGTGCCTGTGTGTTTGTGTATAGTGAGTGGATGGCGCACGGGCATAAAAGGCCATGTATGTCGGTAGTGGGGGTGTGAATGTTGTCCACGCAACTGTCTATGTCTCCCTCTGCGACTGACTGGCCGACTGACTGACTGAGTGTGTGTGGGGAGGGGGGGCGAGGCGGGCACTAGTGCTGCTCAGACGCGAGCAAAATATGGCTAGTCAGTCGGCGGATGGATTTCTGTCATCAGTGTGGATCGCATGGCTGCATTTGCAAGACGGCCATTAGTGGTGGGGCTGGGGTGATGTGTGTGGTCGTGGGCGTTCGGGTTTGTGTTTCCTTTTGCCGTATCGTTCGTTTCTCATTCATTGACACACACATACACACACAGAGACACTCACACAGGGAGGGAGGGAGAAAAGGAACGACCATGAGACACATGGGTGGCTTTCTTAGTTAGGGGAGGGGTCTATGTCTGTGTCTGTGTGATGTGGGTGTTTATGTCGACAGTCAGCTCTGACACAGAGTTGTCTGTCTGCCGAGTCAGACAGTGAGCAGACCAAGGGCAGAGGGCGGCCTTATGGCTCAGTGAGGCGACACAGACAGACAGACAGACCGTTTATGTGGATGCCGATCGCCTTTTGTACGTCTCATCTGTGTAAGTGTGTGTGTGCGGCAGGCGGAGTGTCATGTGCTCTCTTCCTTTCCCCGCCCTTTCACATACCTGTCTGTCCGTCTCGTGTATGTGTATGCCGTGGGCGCAGAAACACAGAGAGAGAGGAAGAGAGAGAGAGAGAGACGCAGTCACGCGATTGATCGATTGATGGGATGGACGGATGCATCACGGGACAGGGAACATGCAGAGAGGATATCGTTCAATCGTCACGCACGCGAAAAAGGATGGTGCATTCACAGCGAAGCAAACACCGGCTCAAAGTCAAAAATGACATCTATGAGTGCGTGTGAGTGTGTCGTGTTGCTGGGTGATCACTGACACAGTGACTCTCATACAGCTAGCCCCATCCCCCTTCCCTCTCTCCCTGTGGCACTCACACAATGCCCCAGACTATCCGGCAGGCGGGCTGGCAGCTGCAGCTGTTTGGCAATGGCGTGCTCAAGTTTACTCAAGATCCCGTGAGCCGGAGGGAGCTGTGCCGGATGAGAACCACACAAAGACATGTACTTGCGTGTGTGATGTGTGAGAGTTGTACATGCAGGAGTTTGTGCTGACCAACTTCAAGGTGCTGCCCACCGTGTGTGGTGCTATCCGCCAAGCAGTGAGCGGCGGACGGACACACGCGACGTATGTCAGACATAATGTGTGAATGTGTGACCAAGCAGGCAATGCCGGTTTGATTTGCTGCTGGTAATGACTTTACGCAATCGCTGCCTACCCCTTACACACATACAGCTGGACTGTCACTGCACTGGCCACTGTGCGTGCGTGTGTATGAGGATTGACCGATACATTCTGTCTGCATGTGTGCAAGTCCGTGCACCCCGTCGACGTCATGCATCATCATGCAGGCATGAAGACACAGAAAGGTATCCTATCCCGCATACGTCGTAATGTACTGTCATGTACTGTACTGTAACGTTGCAATCGATCTCCGAGAGAGATCGATCTGTCCGTATATATAACTGGTGTGTGTCAAAAGAGTCCCGACATTGCAGGCAGTCGAAAACGGCGAAAAAGGCATTGCAGGCCGGCGGTCGAAAAGGCCCACATACAAATGTAGATAGACGAAAACGGCACGTACACATACATGGTCTGTCTGTCTATCCACCCGTGCGTATCCACATACGGCCAAAAAGGCCTCTTCTCGTTTCCTTCTCTCTCTTCAGTGCTCACACGTACTGGCTCTCATATATATCATAAAGGCCCTCTTGCCAGAGCTGTCGACACATACACATAAACAGCAAGCACATCGCTGACCTCCCTCAGACACACAGCGGTATGTATGTGAGATGTGTGTACGGAGTGTACGCGTGTGCAGCGTCTGTCAGTGTGTGTAGCGCGTGTGTGTGAGCGCGTGAGTGTGTAAGCTAGCAGCTTAAGGGAAGGAGAAGCACACATGGACTACAAACCGCACACAAGCGTATCCATCAGCCAGCGCACACATGGCCGTCTCTCTCGCAAATGGAGCCACGCATCCACGTGCTGATGGCGCACACGCACACGCACACACTCACGAATTGACTTGCTCAGGATCGGCACTAGTGCCTAGTTTCGCCTTGCCACACCCAGACACACAAAGATAGGGAGCCCTCAAAGAGGAAGACATAGTCTGCATGACACAAGAGACGCACATCCGCCACACGTCCCTAGACACCTGGCCACACAGTCCATCCATCCACCACCATGCCATCCACCACGCCACTCATCCCCCCAGTCACCACCCGTTAGTTGCGTACGGTGCGACAAACGGACAGACAGACAGACAGACAAACCAGGGAGGATCTTCAGCACATCCAGCCACTCCATAGAAATACCCACACACGCACACGCATTGACAACAAATATATAGCTGATCGATACACAGGTGGACGGACAGCCAGCCAGACAGAAACAGACAGCCATGCAGCCGAGTACTCAGGCGGGTGGAACGCCGTGAGTTTGCTTTCTCATGTGTATGCGAAAAACGTGTGTGTATGTGTGTTGTGTGTGGTGTCTCTGAAAGCGGTGTGTTGAGTGTGACATATCCGGCTTGTCGATGCACGCTACTTGTTCAACTGCCTCTGGACCACCTGCACACACACACACACACACGCACACACACGCGCCCACACATGCAGCCAGACCAGCAAACGCGTCTCTGT